GACCACTATAAGACTAAAGGCAATAATACTTGGGCTCTGAAAGCTCAGTTAGCAAGATTATCTTTAGATAATAGAACTAAAGAATGGGTAATTATTAATGTAGCAATGGATCTAGAAAACTCAGAACTATTAATCACAAAAATAGTTTCAAGAACCTCAAAGAAGATACTAGTAGAACATTGGAAAACTTTAAACCAACATAATACGGGTAATCTCATGCTAGAGAAATGTCCTGGTTGTCTACTGAATTAGAACAAGGCATTTGAAGGATGCGAGAAACTTTATTATGAAAGTGAAATTTAAGGATCTCTCTCAAATTTTGTTAGAAAAAGAGGAAACAAATGAAAACTAGAAATCTCATTAGATGCGATCAAGATTCACTATAGCAGAAGAAAATTGAGAATTACAAAAGAAGAAGTACAAGCGATAAGTATTTTAAGCTATAATTTAGATGAAAAGATGATTCGAAAGCAAGATATATCCTCAAAGCTTAGAGATAAACTAGTTGAGTGAAACCAAAACAATTTTGCACTTCCACAAAGTAAATTGACTTTTTATACAAATAGTTTATTGTACTCAGCCAGAAACAAAGCAGAAGGTTCTGATCATATGGGAATAGGGGTATTGCAGACAGATCAAGACAAACAGAATATAATTGAAGAGGGTTTTGCAAAGACCTATAATTGGCTATCATCAACTAAACCAGAATTGTTAGCAATCTGGCTAGCATTACTGGCAACACCGAGTGGAAGAAACGTCAAGATCTATACAGATAGCGCAGTCGCAATTGCAGGTATAGAGAAAGGGAGGAATATCTTAACAAGTAAACACTGGTTAAAGCTAAAGAATTATGATTTATTACATAGTATTGTAGAGCTAGTTAAAGTAAAAGAAATTCAATTAGAATTAGTTAAGGTTAAAGGACATAGTAATAATAGGTGAAATGACAAAGCAGATAGTTTAGCTAAAAAATGTGCTGCAAAGGATAATATAGATAGTATTGTTTATAACCCCCCACTTAGATCTAATGTTTCACTATTCTGGAATGAGATTTTTATTGAACATCCGGCAAGAAAAATAACCAAGATTTTACTCGACTTCAAGATAGGTGCAGATTGGAGAGAATCGAAAGCAATCTAAAAGATTGAACCGAAAGAAGACTAGAAAAAAAACAATTGGACTTATTTCTGGAGAAAAATCAAGAAGAGCAATAGTATTAGATGTACGACAATGAAAAAAGGCAAGCACCTAGGAACTCTTTTCAAGTGTACTAATGAGATGCTTCTGGTACTCGGAACATTATCACAAAGATGTTCAGATATATATCAAGATTCAAACTGTATTGTTTGTAAAGAAAGAAGGAGGAAGATCAGGATCATCTGGCATGTTGCAAAGAACAAGAGAACAACTAGAAGAAGGCTGAGACCTGTGCAGTAAATATAGCCTGGACAGCTCTTCCAAAAGAAACTAGGACAAAAATAGATAAAGACCTCTTAGAGAGAACACTCTGGAGAGAAACAGAAAAAGAATCCTACGAAACAAGATCCAAAGCAATCAAAGGCTTAGTTCAAAAAAACACAGTAGAAAGGATACAGGAGATTCTACAATTGAATAAGGAAGCCAAGACATATATCGAGCTCGCATTAGATACAATTTGGAACTGCTTTCACAAAAATATTTGGAAGGAAAGATGCGAGCTTCTTCGCAAATAAGAAATCAGCAAAGATATTTTAACCAGAGACAAAAAGCGAAGGTGCAAGCTACCAACAGAGAAAGGAACAAGACCAGAATACCACAAACCAAGATCTAAAGGAGGGATATAAGGAGAAATAGTTCTTTAGAGAAAATAGATAGAAAACAGAAAAAGAAAGAAAAAGAGGAGGGTTTAAAAAATATAGAGAATCATTGGTATAATAGTTTTAGAGATTTAATTCAAAATAGTTGCAAGCTCTTTTGGTATGGCTTGCACAGCTAACCTGGTATTAGCCTTCTGGTCTCGAAAGAATTTTCAGACCAGTGCAGCAGACCGCTTCTGGGCACCCATAAGGTAGCTGGGAGATGTCGGGTCTAGATATTAAGCTTAACATTATATAATCTACTTATATAATAATCTTAATAAAGGATCACTAGCAAGGTTGCTAAAGAAAAAAAAAAAAAAAAAAAGAAGATACTAATTCTACTCAAACAAGTAATCAACAAAAATCAAATTTATCTTAAGAAAAAGATGATATTTCAACTTAAATAATTAATCAACTACTATTAACAAAACAAAATAAAGATAATAAAAATCAGTTAAATAATGTCATTTTAGAAGATAATATTTCTTATTATTTGGATCAAATAAAGGCTTGGACTAATAAAAAATTTAATTCCAAAAAGAAAACCAAATTTACTACTAAAGTTGATAATATAATTAAGTAGTATATTAAAAATTTTATTAGTTTAAATATAAAAATCGATACAAATTTTTATATTTCTATTTTTGCTACTTTTATCAACCTTATATTAAAACATAATTTTATTTTATCATTTAGTTAATTTATTTGCAAAATTTTAAAAATATTTTTATTATCAATTAAGAAAAATTTTTTATTTATAAAGTATTATTTAATTGTACTATTTGAATCTTCCTTTGTATCAACAAATATATCTTCTGCTACCTCTTCTAATACTTCTCTTCTCCTACTCTCAGCATAAACTCTTCTTTCTCTTTTCTAACAAAGCTCCTCTTCTGCATCTACTAATTTTGCTCAAAGTCTATTTCTTTTTATAAGTAATCGATCATATTGCTGTTCTCTTGGCCAATTTCTTGCAACCAAATCTATTATTGTTTCTTGTTACTCTTTAATAGTTCTATTTAATCCAGCAATTTGGTTATTTAAGACTCTAATTTGTCTTTTTAATTCTTGAATTTCTCTTGCCAATCTATTATATTATATCTTCTTTTTATTATTATTATTATTATTATTTTATTGATATCAACATCACTTCTTTTATTTATATATAGTATTATTATTACTATTATTATTACCTTCTGTTTGTAGCTTAAACAAAGTCTAAAGCTTTATAAAGAGCTTGAATACCATCTTCTCTTTAAGCTCAAGTGCATCAATATAAAGTGGAATAATATATTTTCAACTAAGTTATTATTATTTGATGATTGTTAAAAAAATTTTTTTTTGTCAAAATAAAGATTATGCAGTATAATGTATACTCCTTAAATATAATAAACCTTAATTTGGATCACATAGAAAATCTTAATCTTATTGGGCACTTTAATTAGAAAATAGATCTTCAAAAACTATACAACAAAAAAAAAATTTACAATTATACTTACTATAGTAAAATAGTGAAGGCATATAGTTATTGTAAGGTTGTGTGTTCGAATCTTGCTAGTAGACTTGTATGATAACATACTAGCACTATAGTAAACTTTTTATAATTTTTCAAAAGAACATTTTTAGTAAACTTTTGTCAAAATATTGATGATTAGTAAATTGGAAACAGAAGATTAGGGTTTAGAACATGGATAAAAAATTGTGCATGCCTATGAGAGCATGTCTTATGTCAAGGCATGCTCTTCATGCCCATGGGCATGCCTCTCCTCAATCACGTAGCAATCATATGTAAATTAGCCAATTATATCTTGTAAATCATAGGTCTTACAGCTAATACAAATTTGTAAAATTCAATTATATAGCCACTTTTAATAGTTAGTATTAGAATAAATGCTAATATTGTTCTTTTTTCATAATAAAAGTAACATGGGCTTGATAAAGTTTTTCTTTTACAAACTGTTTGTTTTCTATATATCTATTTTAGTTTGCGTTTTTATATCATACTACTTTACTATACCCATAGAATGTGCATAAAATATAAAAGTAAGTTAAAGCTTTTTTTTAAATTTTCAGAACCAGTTATATAGAACAAAAAACTTATTAGTACATAAAATTAGAAATATTTTTGGTAACTACAGCATTAATTCTATATAAAAGTATAATATTTTTGTAGAATACCAAAGATCTATATAGTTATATAGAGCTTTTTTTTTTTTTTTACATTATTTTATATTTTAATACTTCTACAAATTCAAACTTTTAGACTATACAATTTCAGGCTACTTATATAATTTACAATATATTATCATTATATATTTTATTAAAAAAAGAATTATAAATTTTGAATTATATCATCAATAGACCATTTCTCGCTTTCAATATTACTTTGTTGTACCATAGAGTGACTATAAATCTCTTCAGTAACTAGAAAATTTTCTTGTTCTTTCATAAATACTTCAAAGTTGAAAAACTCCTCTATAATAAAGAATTCTTTCTCTTTGATACTAACTGCTTCAATTTGTTTATATATCTCATTATTATTAGTATTGTTCTCATCTGCATTTTTAAAAAATATGTCGATATTTTTTTTAAAAACTTTAGATATTGAAATGAGATTCTGTTTGTCTTTTTGCTTTTTTGTTAAGGATCGTTTAAGTTCATTTTTAAGTTAACCTTTAAATAATAAAAGAAGTTATATCTTTAATTATTTAATTTTAAAATATTAAAAATAATTTTATTTTATTTTTTACCAAGTTTAGAAAAAGTATCAGAAGAAAGACAATTTCTCGATTTAGTTTTAGCAAGATCTAAGGAAGAAAATAATCATTGACAAGCAGCATCATAAGGTACAATAGAGAAGACTTTTAGAGCAAATCAGCAAAGAAGAAGAGAATTATCTGTAAATCTTGTCCAAAAGTTTCTAGATAACTTTTGGAAGCTGAGTTGAATAAAGTCAAAAGGAGAATCATTATTTTTATAACTCATTAACTCTTTATAAAGTAGACCAGTTTCTCTTTTATTAAAATTTCAGATCTTCACTAATTCTAAGCATCTACGCAAGAGACATTCAACATTTATGTAATTTGATATAATTATATTCTTGTAAGGCAGGAAGAGAAATAAGGCAATAAAATAAATATCTTCAGAGAATTCTTTGGCTCTTTGACTAATAATAGCCAGTGCATAAGTCTTTAAGCTAGGAATAGGAATGTTAAGCTTAGATATTTCAAAATAAAGATATATGAGTTTTTTAAAAATATCGGCTAGAGTAGCATCTCTTGATTTAAGCCTTCCAATCGCGTCAACTACAGGCTTAATCACTTTTATTAATGCATTATTATTGGCAAAGTAATATCTGTCATTGATAATAGATTTTATATTTTCTTTGATTTCTGGATAATTAATTTTATTAGCTTCGCTCAAACTGAGACAGTGTTGAAAGCTTCTTTCAAAAATAGATATGTCCAAACAGACTTTAGCAATAGAGTACCACCTTGTTTCGCAAAACATGCTCAAAAAATAAGAGATATCTTGTTCTTTTTGCCATATTTGCAAGGCCTGTTTCCATATATACGAAGCAGTAAAGAAATTTACTAGCTTTTGGTTTGTATTACAAGTAGAAATGATGCTAGTAAAACTAGCAATATTTTTCGCAAATTAGATTAAATGCGTGCAAGCAATATCTAATAGGAACAATATTTAGACATTTTTTCTATAAAATGAAATACATGTAAATTATATTATTATTATTTTATCATTTTATTTTTTATTTTTAAAAAAAGTATTTACATACCTTTAGAAGATTTTTCATCGAATTCATAACAGGTAGATTGTTAGTGATACAGGCGACTGCAGATGACATTTGAAATCTATTTGCAACAAGAATTTCTTTGGTTTTTTTATAATGAAGGTTGCTTTATGTCTGTTTGCAAATAAGTTAATGATATTGATGACATGCTTCTCCTGTCTCTTAAATATCATAAATCTGTATATAGAATTTCTGAACACATCAGTCCAACTATCAAGACATATGGTAGCATCAGTAAAAGTTAACAGTTTAGTTAATCTGTTTTGTAAATATTTAGAGAACTTTTTTGTCAAGATATGTCTTCACAGCATATCAAGTGAAGGAGGTTGGTAACCAGGAGCTGCTTCTTGAAGAAAGTTGTAAAAATATAGATTTTTAATGAAGTTAAAAGGGATATTATGATGTATAATAGTATTAAAAGTTTCAAATTGAGTTTTTTATATTGTGTAGAAGGCATGGACTTACTATACCAATTTAAAATACTTTCTTGTTTTGTAGAAGATACATTTGATTCAGCCATGGTTTCAACTAGGTCTTGGTCTTGGTCTTGAGTAGGTTTAATTTGCTTACAAATAGAAGGTGTATGCTCATTAACTTTTTTGAGATAGCTGACCTTTTTAGAAACTAGCTAGCTATTGCACTTGAGAATATGCTGATATAGCCTTTCTGGCTTCCCTTCAAGTTCAGTCAAACAAAATTTACATTTAGCAGCATATCTGCTACCCATTTTTTTATCTACAGAATGATAAAAACCCAACTACTGATGACCTTGGGTAGAAAGCGGCTAAGCAAAGCCTGCTAGTAGTGTTTGCATGTTAATTTTACTGATAAGATAGAAATAATGAGATTTATTATTTTATTTTATTAACAATGAAGAAAGCGATTTGAAATTTGAGATGTTTATTAAATTTGATTCTTTTTTATAATTTTTAGATACATAATAATGATACTTTTTGATGATTTTTATTACACTTAATAGGTTTATTCATGATTACTATCTTTAGAGATTGTAATAAGTATTTATTGAGGTATTTAATATTACTTTAATGAGAATAAAACATTATTTTAATATCGCTAATTTGTTTCGTACACTCAAGCTTACTATTTATTTTGAATAAGTGCTAGGGTATGCATGGTCGCTATATTTATTATACAGTTATTTCATAAAAATTTACAATTACCAGTCAAATCAATAAATTATTAATATTAGTTTGCATTAGTAATTTATTGATTTGGCCAACTTACTATTGATTAATTTCAGAATCTCTAAAAATAGCTCTACAAATTACTTTCTTTTTGGCACTATTAATCAATTCATTTAATTATTTTTTCTTTTTTTAGATAAAATCTGCTTTTAACGAAAAATAGTCATATATGTTGAAATCAATAAATTATCAAATTGGTCAAATAATCATACAGTTAATTTTTTACCAGATGCAGGCCTCTATATAGATAATTTTCACTTTTAACAATTATGCAATATAATCCTCTATAATTAATCTCTTTTATTTCTAATAAAAAAGAAAAATCATACAATGCAAGACTCTATATAGTTAATTCTTTTAACTAAATATAGCGTAGTTATCTATATATACCAAAATCGCTAAACTAAAAAGACAATTTGGCAGACTTTTTTAACTTGGTCAAGCAATTGTTTTTAATTTTTAAGGCTATGTAAGTATTTACAAATTGTAACTAGGGCAATAAAATTTTATTAATTTGTCTATTACAAAATTTTTAAATAGCTAAATTACTATGAATAATATTTTTTTGTTAAGAAAACATGGAAATGATCAGTATAATTTGTAATCTTTATTGTATAATTAGTAAATTTTCTATTGTGTGAATAATAGATAATATGAATTATAAGTATAGAATAATGCTTATCAGCATTATTTTTTTTAAAAAAAAGTTTTTTAAAAACAGCATATATTAGTTTATTAGTTACTTCATTAGTTGGTTAGGTAAATTTGTAGAAAATACTCTGGGAGTACCTCTTGGAATTAGTAGAATATAGAGAATATATTTTATTTAGTTGTAGGTTTGATCTCAAATTAGTATCTATAGGCTCCTGAATTAATGCGTATTTTAATAGAATTGAATTGTATAGTGATTATATCTAAGTGGAAGGTATTAAGGGGTCTTGTGCTTATTAATTTAACTATTCAAGTTTGTGAATATTTATTATTTATTAACATTAATCTAAGTATTAAAAATAATCATTTTATATATCAATTGTCTAAATTTATACTTCATTTCAAAATAATTTATATAAACATATCTGAAATAATGTTTAGTAACCATCAAGAAAATTCTATCTGGGTATTATTAAATTACCCTATACCATATAATAAATATTTGGTTTAGGCTGCAGATAAATTAGTCTGAGTTTTTTTTCTTGCTATCTTAGGATATGAAGTTTAAATTTATTCTTTTCTTTATATAAGAGTTATATTTCTGTGTAATCTTTGCTTTGTAAGAGAGTTAAATTAAATTTTAATAAAGACAGAGACATGGTCTCACTATTAATATTCTATATAATAAATATATCTACCTAGGTACATTATTTAGTTTAGGTTAATTAATTAACCAACGTGCAGATGCTTATATAGTATATTAACTTTTACTTTTTGATTGGCTGATTATTATTCACATGATTGCATTACAAAAAAAATATAGGCATGTCTTTTGACCTCGAGGCATGCCCTGTACCTCTATGTTCTAAATTCTACAGAAGATTATGAACAATTAATTTATTAGTTATCTATTATTTATTATTATTTATTATTCATTTATTAGCTTTTTGATTATTTAAATTATTTTATTTATATTTTTTTTATAGGTCTAGTATAATATGGTGTCTAGGACAGTTTAAAGCGATGGTTAGAGCTTTATTTACTTTTTTTATTAGGAGAATTTTATAAATTAGGAGAAACAAAAAAACATTATCAGGAATGCAATCAAACTTGAAAAATTATATCTTATATTTAGAGAATATGAGCCCTATAGACAACTCTACTACTCAACTTTGAATAAGTTGAATATGAAAAGTTCATATTTAAGAAACATGAGCCTTATCTACAACTTCGCCATTTGAAATTTGAGTAAAGTTTGATATAAAATAGATATTACTTTTCGCATTTAGAAAATATGAGCCCTATGAACAACTTTGCCATTCAAGATGAATAAAGTTGGATGTGAAATAGTAACAAGATAATATAAAAACTTATTAAGAAACTGAACAATTAAATTTATTTATAAAAAGAAAAGAAAAGAAAAAAAGAGAAAAAAAAAAATTTTAATTTGAAACTAAAATGGTCTCAATTAAATCTCTTAAATTCTTAACTTTAACCTTAATTCACTCTGCTTCACCACCAAATTCACATACTGAATATTTCTTTCTCAATTTCCTGCCTAAACTGCTTTAATACAAAATGTAGCATTCTCTACTTCTTCTTCTAACTCTCCTACTTGCCTTTCTAAATCTTTTACTTCTTTTCTTAATACTATCGCTTTTCTTCTTAACTCCATCACTTCTTTTCCCAACACCACTACTTGTACCTACAATGCTCTAACTTCTTGCACCAACCTAAAATTATTATTATTATTATTACTTTATTATTATTTTTAGTATTATTATTATATTACTATTATTATCTTACTATTGATTTTCATTTTGAAGCAAATTAATTGTCTTGTATAAGGCATTTTTAGTACCAGTTCTTTGTTGATAGCAAGTAGTAGAATAACGTTGTGGCATAATTTCTTTTTTTACTATTATTATTATTAATATTAATATTATTATTATTATAAATATTATTATTATTATTATTATTATTATTATTACTATTATTATTATTAACATTTTTATCTTTGGAAAATTTTAGTGAGAATATTTTTATTAAAACTTATCGTTACCCTATATTATACAAATTTATATCTCTGATAATTATTGTCTAAATATGGTAATTGTAATAATTAAAAATAAAACAATTAAAAAATTTTTAATATTATCGATTGTAGTAGAGTGATAATGATCTGTGACTGTAGCTAGCAGCTATAGGTTCAATACCCGCTGATGGACTGCAAACTCTGTTGATGGGTCATGATTACAGCATCTGTACTACAATAATTCTTTTATAATTTTAGAATTTTGTGAAGCAAAATTTTCTAAGAAAAGAGTAGTGTAATATAGATGAATTTTTATTAACATTTTTCTTATATTTTTCTTTAAATTTTATTATAAATTTTATTTGTTTATTAAGCAGAGGTCTTTTTCATTTTTTAGCTACAAAATTGTGTATCAGAGGTACATCAAGTGTGATACAGATTTGCATGAGAAGAGCATCCTTTTGCATTACAAATACCAAGTGAAATTTTTGATTATATATAATAATAAATTATCATTATATATAATCGAAAAATTTCACTTAGTATTTGCAATACAAAAAGATGCTCTTCTTATGCAAATCTGTATTACACTTGACGTACCTCTGACACATGATTTTGCAGCTAAAAAACGAAAAAGACCTCTGCTTGTTTATTATATATTTTATTATTTTATTAATTTATTTATATAGTTTATAATCAGTATTGAGTAAATCAATGGTTAAGCAAAAATTTACTAGTCAAATTGGTTTGGTCAAATTGGTCAAATGATCCAACTGGTCAAATTAGTCAAGTCTATTATATAAATATAATATATATATTATATAATAAATTATATTTAAAGATACTATTTGACCAATTTGATTAATACAAATTCTTTGACCAGACTGATTAAATAGTCAAATTGGTCTGATCAATTAGTCAGACTGGTCTGGTCAGCTCAACACTGTTTATAATATATTTTATCTATTTTAGACATTTATACAATAGTTTATTATATATTTTATTAATACACTTTTTACAAAATTTCATTGAAAGCAATATTTGCTTTAATATTTAGATTATTAGTTTGTTTAATATAACGGTGTATAGAGCAAGAATACACAAGTAATACAAGTGCATGTAATACCCCAGAATGCCCCAGGATCTTCTAGAATGATGTATTAATAGTTATTTAATTGTATTACTAATTTTAAAAATAATAGCTTTATTATTTAGTTTATAGTATTATTTTATATCATTATTATTTAACATTATTAGATGCATTATTAGACAGCGTTATTTCATGTCGTTATTATTTTTGTAACTATTTTTAGCATTAAATAATTATAGTATTATTGTAATGATTTGCAATGATTTATTAGTAATCTAATGATTTATAGCATTATTTTCTAGTATTATTATATGGGACCATTGCAGTAGAAAGGGCTCAAACTCACCCAGAAATCAAAATTGAGTTTTTGTAAGATTTAAATAAATTTCAAGATGGGCTACATTTTTCATTTATAAATGAAAATTGATTTGCTTAATAAAAAATTGAAATATTTATAATTTTTTTTTAGAGAATTCATACATCACAAGATTATCCAATGTAACTAACTAATCAAATTACAGAATTTTTGATTGACCCGA